GAAAACCCTAATTAAAGAATATTTGAGATGTAATAAAATATAGGTATTTACTACCTATAAACGGAAAACCCTAATTATTTTATTCTTTTGTATGGAGAATGAGATTATGCATGCACACATCATGCATGAATCTCAATTATCTTTTTCTCTCACTTCAAGCGAAAGTGAATTGAATCAACAACAAATAATATGTAAACACTTTTATTGTAAACGTTCTATTATATCTTCAGTACTTATAAAAGATCAAGTTGACATAATGGCGATACAAAAATACAAAGAAAACATGTGTTATATATGTTAAACCTAAGAAAAGTTCCATTTAAATGCGAATAAATTGACAAAAGTTGTGCTAACGGATTTTATTTTCACTTATAAAAGATCAGGTCAACATAACTGCACTGCAAAAATACAAAGAGAGAACGTATTACATATGTTAAACCTAAGAAAAGTTCCACTTTAAATGCGAATAAATCGACAAAACCACTTAAATGCGAACAAATCGACAAAATTAGTTGCGCTTTGGATCTTATATATCCTTCTTTTTTCTTAAAAAAAGAGCTAACACAGTTGAACAAGTAGAAACATGAATCCTACGTGACATAATTTATGTAAGACAAATAGACACATGAATTTTATATGACATAATATATGTTGGACACCACGTATGGCACAAATTGTCATGTAGGATGTCACGTAATATACGTGTGTCTATTTGTTCAATGTTATTCAAATTTAAGTGTCTGTCTGTACATATTCAAAGTTAGAGGATAAAAATATAAAATAAAACAAAATTAGAGGGTATATTTATAAATTATGCCAAATAAATATAAATAATTGTGGTAATGTATGTGAAATTATGTAAATCTTAGTTTTATTAATTGAAGTTCTCATTTGTCAAAAACTAGTGTAAAAGCAGTAAATGTGAACCTTCTATCTAATTAAAAGTGTTGAATAAACCTTAATGAATACTCACTCATTTATTTGACGGTCAAATATATCTTTGAAAAAGTGTATTCATTGGTAGGGTCTATCATATTTACTCATATAATACATGATTCAAAGCTTTATTGTTATGAAGTTATGATGAGTATATATCTTTTCTCTTTATAATAAATAATAAGGACCTACAAACTAATGGCGTTATTGGCATCATCTACCTATCTTTTAATTATAAAAACTATACTATATAATTTTGTTGCATCGATGATCGCATTCTTTTTTAAAGTTCTAAACTTTTATCTCCTCTAATTTAGATTATTTTAATTATTTTTTTTTAATTTTTAAAAGTTTCAAACATAACCAAGTGGCTACTAAAGGTTCAATTCAAAATCTATTGTTTAACACAATAGTGTCTTTTCTTATGGCATTATTGGGATATTAATACATAATAAAAAAGGAGATTTTTTCACATGGACCATTTTGCTCATATTGTTATCATGATGACATTATTTTATATACGTCCAAATAAATTAACTTTTACCAGTCACTATAATGATTTTTTCCTCTTATATTTTTTTCTCATATGCTATTACAAAATATGAAGCCAAAAATTAAGTGTTTTTCTTTTCAAAGTCAATGGTCTTTGTCTAATGGTGCGTTTGGTACGAAGAGGAATTTTATTTTGTTTTGTTATAGCAACGTAACCGTTGCATTTAATGAATTTATCATCAAAGTACATGGCTATAATTAATTAGGAATATTTGTTTAGTGATATTTAATTAATGACTATAGTTAATTACTGTTAAATAGTTCTTCCATTTTATATTGATTAAATTTTTGAGGTATTTTTTATTTTTCAATTAACTTAATTGTTTGATTTTCATACTATTTTTAGAATGTTATTTCAATTTTATCCTTCATTTGAATTTTTAATGTGATGACTTCAATAAATTTGATTATAATTAATAAGAGTAAAAATGGAAAATTATGTTCAATTTATGTCGAATCTATTTTTCTTTAAAGGCGTGAAACACCTCAAAAATTTAATTAAATATGGAATGGAGGGAGTATGTATTTTTAGCGACAGTTAACCCTTTTTATAAATGTCACTAAAAGTTATAACGACATTGATTTCAATGATAATTAATTGATGCCGATATAAATTTACCACTGTTTGCTAATGTGTATATTTATTATCGTTAAAACTTATCTCTCCAAACCTATAACTAAATATGAGCTTGAAAACAATATTTTGTATACGTATATATCATCCGCAATAGAGACAATCAACTTTGTCATTATTTGAGATGTGAATCCATTTTTTTCTTTAAATTCGTGTAAATAAGTTTTTCTCTCTCGTTATAATAGGGTCTTCGAATAAGTTTGTATGTATTTTTCTTTATATGAAACACTTATTATTTCTAACTCTCACATATATCGAGTAACTCTATTCAACATGATTAATTAAACATATATTTACGATTGTAACGATACAATGTTAATTCATATTTGGCACAGGATAAGATTATTATTACTCCTAGTAATTTCACCTTTTCAAAATTCAAATTTACCACATCTTGACCAACCATAGAAACACACAATATAATAAAAATAAAAGATGATGATGGGATATATGTATCTTTTATCTTGTCTATATCATATAGAAGTCTTGGGTAAAAATGATTAAAGTGCTACCAAATTGTCTGATGAAGACTGAAGAGAATCTTTATGAAAAGGTGAAGCAAATATATATATATATACACTGTATTAGTAAGAAAGAATATATGAAGAAGATCTAAAAGATAAAGTAGATCCTAAACTCATCAATAGGCTACTTTTACTTTCACTTATCTTTTTTATTTCTTTATATTTATTTATAAATTAAAATATAATAATTGTTACTGTTCTTTAATTTGAAGAAGATCCCTCAAGAATATGCACATGCAATTCTACAGCAAATCATGTCTTTGATCTATATATGGCTTTATCATCAGTCCATGGGACACATTAAAAAAATACTTTCATTTGTTTGTTGCTGGGACAACTATATAACTAGTTGTCGTGGATACCTGTTAAATGAACGGATTGAACTAAATTTGGATATACTATAATATACTGAATGAACAAATGATATTGTCATGTGTGTGAGTGTGATTTTTTAACGAAAGTTGAATACCCTGAACTATATGTGGCTACGTTATTAGTTGTGTTGTCTTGAACTTGGATGAACATCGTGCTTTCATGAGTTGATTTTTAATGTGACGACATCCTGCTATTTATCAATGTGTTCAAATTTTTCATGTATTTTGATGTATTCATATACGTATATGAAGGAATATGATAAAAGTGTGGACATCTCATAAAAATTCTTTAAATAAATACACTAAAAAGTATCATTTTTTAAGAGGGACTTTTGCATGTAGTCACTCAAAAATAGTCTAATTACGCTTTACGTCTATAGTTTGCTAATTACCATTCGTAGCTACATTTTATAGGAAGGAGAGAGGCGATCAAGATTGGGAGAGGTAAGAAAGAGGAGAGCGAGATTGAGAGAGCAGGAGAAAGGTGAGCGAGAAAGGACAATAATTTGTGTAATCCGCATCTCATTTGTATAATTCACGGGAATGTTGGTATAATTCACATGTTTTTGTATAATTGAGTAATATAAAAAGTCTAGAATTATACAGATATGATAAAACTCGAAATAACAAATTGATATATACATAAACATATGGATTTTAAAAAGTTCTACAAAATATATTAAACAAATTACATTAGATAAATTATATTATACAAAATCTGAAAACTACATATTTATGCAAACTTTTAAAAAAGATTGAATGTATATGGTGACAAAACAGAAAAATCAAAGAAAATCATCATCATATACAGATACAAACCATCGTATATAAATACAAAACAAACAAAGAATCGTTAGTTAGGAATTATACAAATGTCGCAAGTTATAGAAACATGACATATTATACAACTCGAAGTCAACGTGCATAGTTAATGGTCAATGTTAGTTGTGGGTGATAATTATAGTACAAGTTTATTTAACCACGTAATTTTTCTTTTTTAAAAATATACTAGTATCAAAACCTTACACTTACATTATATATTCACAAGCTTTATTCAATTCAATCATAATAGATCATGTTGGAATTTCATTCCATTAAAGTCAAGTTGCATAAATACAAGTAATCTAACTATCCAAGTACTACGACATGAAATGTCATTTGGTTCTCGTACAAATCTTGTAAGACAACTCATTGTCGACTTCAAAATTTAACTTGGACCAAACAATTCTAGCTGGTCTCAAAACATATAGGACAATACTCCAATAATTTTTCCTTGATGTCCTAGCCTTTTCAAGTTGATGTTTCACAATTGTACCTAATTTTTGAAAAAGTTCTCTATTTATTTGTGCTTGTTTCAAAAGACTTAAATAACATATGTTGTTTTGACTTATGTTTGATGAAGAAGACAAAATTAATCGCACAACATTGTATTCAAAATATCTCCTTAAAGCAATTCACACCAACGCATCTATATGAACTTTAAATATCTAATAGGACATGCAACAAAAGTATCTTTGTTACACCTACAATGTCAAAGAGTTTGACAAGAGCACTCCGATAAAAAAAGAACAATCCTAAATAAGCGTTATCAATCTTTTTACAAGTAAGGTATCTAGATAAAGATAATTGTCAGGTTAGTCTAGTCGAAGAGAAGCTTGCTTACACCTCCTGACCCGCAAACTCAGAATTTCGATTTACAACCTATTTATACAAAACATAGTCAAATGAAGTTTAAACTTAAATAATAGCACGAAAATAGTCCTATTTGTGCAAAATCAACAAATAAATCTCAAATCATGAATAAGAACTTGGATTTGGATCTAGTCAATTTCTAGACACTAGCCCAGTACCAATGTTCAGGCCCAACCATGATAACTATAATTGGGCCTAATCATAATAAAGGCCCATATTTTTGGCCCATGAAGATGGCGGCCCAATAAAGCCATTTCATTCTGCCTTGAAGAAAAAGAAAAGGTAGCTCAAAAGCTTTCACTCTTCAAACTCCATTAAAGGGAAGAGAAGCATAGAGTTGAGTTTGTGATTGCATTTCCGCAAAACGGCATCGTGTTTTTGATCGATAATACTTCGTAGACACAATGTTTAGAAACCAGTACGATACCGATGTGACGACATGGTCGCCGGCGGGAAGGTTATTTCAGGTGGAGTATGCAATGGAGGCAGTGAAGCAAGGTTCGGCGGCGATAGGTTTGAGATCGAAGACGCATGTGATTCTGGCGTCTGTTAACAAGGCTAATTCTGAGCTGTCTTCTCACCAGAAGAAGATCTTCAAAGTTGATGACCACATCGGAGTTGCAATCGCTGGACTTACTGCTGACGGCCGTGTACTTTCTCGTTATATGCGTACTGAGTGTATTAACTATAGTTACTCTTATGAGTCGCCGTTACCTGTCGGGCGTCTGGTTGTTCAGCTTGCTGATAAAGCTCAGGTCTTTCGCTCAAACCCTAAATTGTTTTTGTTCTCTGCTTAGTGTGGTTTAATATATGCTGATCAGCTGAATCTTTGTTGTGATCGATGAAATGAGGGTTAGGGTTTTACTTTGGATTGAGAAATCCCCCTTTTAACTTGGTGGAAGATCAGTTGGATTCTTTTCCACAACTGCTAGTTATCCTGCCATTAGTTTCTCACTTGTTTATTCCTAGTCACTTCAAACCACAACAAATAAGCACCAAATCTAGGGAAGTTTGGGGTTTTGGGACAGGGTGGATGTCTATTACAAAGTTATTCCTTTGTTACTTCATTTCCTCCTATTGCCATTTAGTCTATGAGTCACAAGTTCAATGCTGTTAACACGACGAAACTAAAATGGTTAATCATGAAACAGGTGCTTTTGGATCCTTCCTTTTCCTCTTTTAGGTAAACTTGTGTACTACTCTCTAGGTATATTTAGTGGTGGAGTTGGAACTTATAAGAAGATTGCAATGTTTAATTTATAATATTATTCTGGATGAGGATCACTGTGGTGGTCCAAGGAGAAAAAACATGCTAGAGTTTTGTGCCTTAGTTCACAAAATCAGTCGTTGCCTATATGCTAGATGTTCATTTTTTCCACCGGCGGCAGCACTACCCTAGATTTCTTCAAACTCCACAAATACTTCAGTTATTTTTATAGTACTGCTGAAATGGTGGAAGTTTTTTTCATCTGGGTAATAGCTTGAACACCTTTATTGCCCTTTTGTGCAGTTCTTGTAAAATGCCTGCTCATTTTACACTTGTCAAATATCCATTAGATCAATTTGAAACTTGGGTGAAAAAAGTTCCATATTTAAGATTTAGCAGAGAACCATCTAAGTTCAAATTATGATTTTCTGCACTTTTAGTGCATGCAAATGCTTAAACATATTCCATAAGAGTTTGTCTTTTTCTAGAGAAGTAAGTAGTGTTATATATCATATTCTTTATGTTTTGTTTGAATACAAGTGGGGCCACTCGACACTAGTGCAGATCCAGAAGTCACACTCATCATCACCTAAGATACAACCAATGAATGTATAATACGACAAACTCGCTTTGTTTCACTTTATAAGATAATATGATTGGGTGTTGAGTCTAAGAAAGAAAAGAAGACCTCTACAATTTGCGGTCTTAAATATGTCATGATATTTGTGTGGTTGTAAGACTTTTGATACGTGGTCTTGAAAGTGTCATAACATTTGCGTGGGCGTGTGGCTATAAAGACTTGTTGCCTAAGGGTAAAGTGGGACATTCGAGTTAGATTGTTTCCAAACTTAAGAGTGGTAACGTTCTTTTGGAATGGACTAATAAGCAATAGTGCCATTCTTTTTTAAAATGAGGGAGTATCTAAGTAAATGTTTCGGCAATTAGTTGAAGTTATTTAAATAAAGCTGGTATAATTAAATTCTATGTAAATACTTGGTATTCTGGTACTTTATGTGAATAAATATGACATAAACCCATAATCAACCAAATACTAGATCAGCCTGTACTTTTTAGTAGATTTAGTGAAAGAAACCCAAGTTAGGTTGACCAAATCCGGTGCGAGTGTTCGGTTGACATGGATGCCGCAACTTTTTGAAGGATCTGATCAACATAGATCATAATCAAATTGTAGCAATGGTTGCCCAAGAATTCCTCCCTTCCACTTTACATATGAGGTGCTCTAATTTGTTCCTGCATCTTGGTTAATGATTACTACTTTGACATTTCCCGTGGAATTAGTCGAGGTGCGTGAAAGCTGGCCCGGACACCACAATCATAAAAAAGGTGATGTTCAGAAAATTAGATACTATCTAGCAAAGGTGATCATGGTATTAAATGAGGTGCTCCTATAGGTAGTTTACCAGTAATAGTTAATGCTGCTGTTCAAGCTTTTGATAGTGCCACCACTCTAAATCTTTTCATAACAAAGCGTAGCGTATTCACTCTATTTTAATTGTGTGCCTAGTGTATGCAAACTATAGCATATTTTGCGGCTGTTTTATTTTGACAGCAGTTTCTCATATATCTGACATTCTGAAATTTCACTTAGCTCCTTAAACTGCAGAAATCTCCATTGAGGTAGAGAAAAATATAAACATGCGGGCGGTGAAGAAAAGCCAAGTATTAAGGCTAGTCCATGGTATAGTAGGCCAATTTTGTGGTGATACATTTTTAGGTTTCAGGGCATAAGCGGACATTCTTCCATTTAAGTCATTGAAGACTTGCCTTGATATGTAGACCCTGAATTGTGATGTTCTTTTCTTCTTTAATGATTTGGATATAGTAACTCCAGGTTTACTCAACCAGAGGTCTTACTAGTGTAATTTTTAGTTAGTTCAATAGCTCATATAAAAAGGTTCTAAAAGAGGACTCTTCGAGTTCTTCCCAAGGAAGCATATGGTTTATTTGGTTAAGCAGGCTGAACCTTTTACTTCTGCACAATCCGTTGTGTGCTTGTTGATAGGTTGCATCAACTGTGTGGTGGCTGATATCAGACTCTTCTCATAATTTGTCCCAGATTGTTTTCATGGAAGGAAAAAGTAGAGGTTGGCTCTTAGTGATGGTTGGTATGGATCATGTTTGAACAATTTTGTTCCATATAAAAATAGATAAATCAACATAGTTGTTTTAGTTCTTCACTTAGGGATGTGTTTGACAGTGAACCAGGATACCTACAAATGACACATATGGAGCCTTGGTCATGGGGAAAGAGTGTAGAAAGAATAAAAATCGTTTGGGTTTTGTTGTCGTGTCTTGGTGGATATTGAGCTGAATGCATTTCCCCCTCCATTTCTCAGGATATGAGGCTAACCGTCTGATTCAGAAGTTGATTTCCTATGTTTGCGCTTTATATCATCTTAACATTTGCTTTTGTGGCAGGTTTGCACTCAACGATCCTGGAAACGGCCTTATGGTGTTGGCTTGCTTGTTGGTGGACTGGATGAGTCTGGTGCTCACCTTTATTACAACTGCCCTAGTGGTAACTACTTTGAGTATCAAGCGTTTGCCATTGGATCTCGGTCACAAGCTGCAAAAACCTACTTGGAACGTAAGTTTGAGACTTTCATGGATTCTTCACGTGAAAGCCTGCTTAAGGATGCACTCTTTGCTCTGAGAGAAACTCTGCAAGGGGAAAAACTGACAAGCTCCAATTGCACGGTGGCTGTGGTAGGAGTAGGAGAGGCTTTCCATACCCTGGACAAGGAAACCATACAAGCATTGATCAATGAATTTGAGATAGCTGGAGAAGATGCTCCTGCCGAAGTCCCGGAAGAGGCTGCAACTGATGAACCAGCAGCACCTGAAGAAGGTGCTGCCCCTGCTGATCAAGGAGCTGCCCCAATGGATATTTGATAATGTTATGTCTTCCTTTAGGCCTCACTTCTTTCATATTCAGAGATTTCTTCTTAGAATGTTGAGATTTTGTGTGGCACAATGGGTTATATTTTCTGCTTGGATGTTTTATTATGCAATCATGCTTTACTTTGGTCCAAACATCTTTAAAACTCATGCTTCTGAAGTTGAACTAAAAACAGCTTTAAGTGACTTTGTTGAGTTGGATCTCTCTCTCTCCCTCTCCACCCTTCCCACCCCTGCCCTCGTCCCCGCTGTGTCTTTCGTTGTTAAGGCTTCAGTATATCTCCATAAGCAGCTGACCAAATGAATAGTAATGGTTGGACTACACTAAATATTTGATTAGAATTGTCGTTTAAAACTATACAACTTAGAGGTTATTTGCCGATGCTTGATTCATATCAACATTTTTCCCAGCAAACGTAGAAGTTTATATGACATATACGGTGCATTGATATATAAATGAGTTTAATGCTAGTTGTTAACTAATTTTTATTTGGGTTCTCAATCTTCACCTCAGAACAGTACAAAATGTATTGGACTTTGAACCGTTGTAAATTGCAACATACTATAAATCTGTGAATACTTCTGAGAATGATTATGAGTTTTTATCATCAACTCTAGTTGCAAGTAGAGAAAAGTACTAGTATAATTAACAATTGCAATCGGATTGAATCAAAAAGAGAAGACGAAGTAAAACCTTGATTCTCTGTTCAATGGCAACTTCCAACACATTGCATATAATAAAAACTGAATCTTTTGACACCTGAATTGAGATGGACATCTAGATTAAACAATATGAACTTCTACGTTCAACATATCTTCGCGACAAGTCAAATAACAAGAGGAGTACGCACTTAAAAAACACAGCGCTGCTCTTTCTATTGAGTTAGGGAGGCCACTCTTCTATGTCACAACAGAGGATTTGCTTGGTTCTGGAAGTTGGAGTCCATTGGTCTGCATTTGTTTGTACATCCATTGCCAGTTTTCAGGTGTTACCTCACCCCCAAGAGATCGAATCACAGAACCACCGCTGCAAGAACCCACCCGACAACATTCCTCCAGTGACAGTCCTCTTACCAATCCATACAAAAATCCACTTGCAAACAGATCTCCTGCACCTGTAGCATCAGTAACTTTCGCTTCGCCAATTGCTGGAACACGCACAAACTGAAAACCAAAATAATACTTCATGTTTATAATAATCCTAATAAAAAACACTACGTAAAGATCACAAATCATCAACTTATGTGATACTCTTTCCTTTTTAGATGACTCTCTACATAATGTTTAAAACCACAAGTTTATTTAAAAATTACTTCTTCGTTAAACTCCACGGCCAGTCAAATATAATCACATAAAAATGAAATGGAGAGAAAAGTTCAAATTGCTACTAGTTTACTATAACAATGACAAGAACCACTTAGTTGGGGGACTCTCGATTACCATCTTTAAATGATATGAACATCCAGAAGATCAGAACAAAAGATTCTTCTTCAATCGTTTTGTCTTAAAGATAGACTGCAGGTGGGGAAGGATTACAGATACCTCTTTCTCATGTTTCGCAATGCATCCGTTTTGAGCTAAGGTGACAACAGCCCACTTGCAATATTTAGCCAAATATTCAAGTGCTGCATCAGGATCTGCTTTCTCTTCACCCCTACACCAAATGTTGGAAAGACGGAGATCTTCATTTGCATGAATTGGCTATCAATATAGTAGTAAATAAACATAATTTCTTAGTTTTAACGCGAAGACAAATAATAACCTTAGCAGCTCAGTTGCTTCATCCTCGTTTGCGAAGCAAAGGTCTATGTTTCCCGACTCCAATAATTCAATTAGAGGTGATTTAAACTTCCTCACCATCTGCCATATTAAGAATATCATAAAGGAACAAAAGAAAAAACAACAAATCCTATTATCATCAACACAGATCAGACATATTTCAACAGGAACAATGTAATTAGACTTCCGTTCATACGTGTGTTCTAATATATGTTTCCAACTATGGAGTATGGACAGCTCAAATAAAGAGAATGAAATAAGATCTTTGTATCAATTGAGAAGCCATGTAACTGTTTCTGCTTCAAAAACTCGAAGCAAATAATGAAATACTAAACTTCTAATAATACCATGCAGCCTATGCGAACAATTACCTCAAAGCTGGCAAGATCTAGAGAAACAAAAAGACCTTCTTCCTTTGCTATTTTGATGGCCACCTTAATAACTTCTACATTCAGTATGGCATATCTCAGTACCAGCCACTGTTACAAAAAAGTAGAGGCGAATAAGTGGAAATTTTCAATGCTACAATTCGCCAGAGTAGTTCTCCAACGAGTAAAAATTAAATCGTTTTCATAAATGGATCAGCAAACTCTACATGTTACTGGGAAACATACAACATTGTAGTAACTAATAGTATAAAAACTGATGGAGATAAGAGTTTAAAATATCAAATAAGGAAGCCTCACCTTAGAACCTTTGAAGTCCTCTCTTTTCAGTTCATCTGCCTGATAAAGCAAGGAAATAATAAGACAAATGTACGTCACTTCGCTTAATATTTTACACGTTATTAGAATCATTACCCTCCACTGAATTTGACTAGATGAAAGTAGAAATCACCTGAACTTTCACAGAGCCAGACAAACATGGACGCATGGTACGATTGCCAACTTCGTCAACCAGACAAACACACTGTATAGAACAAATTGCATAGTATTAGAAAATCGGGGAATCATCTATATACACAATCCTAATATCCAACAAATGTATTCACCTGAGCTGTAGTTCCATTCTTCAATCTCAATCTTGAGAGATCCACTTTGTAAAAGCCCATGTTGCTCATAAATAATTTACCTTCTTCATCTTCGCCACAAGCCCCAATGATCCCACTACTAATCCCAAAACCAGCAGCCAACCCTCTAATTGTATTTGCAACGCTACCTCCAGCTATAGTCTTCAATATGGATTCATTGTCAGTAGAAGGAAGGATATGGGCGTTAAGCTCGTTGAGTATATACTTCAACTCTTCAACTGCAACCTTTAGTTAACAACAGGAAACAAAATGGATCAGAGTCTTGTTTATAACAAATAAGGACATTTGTAGCAAACATAATATTTCATGGTTATTTCATTTTAGCATGCAATAGCCTTTCCTAGCTGGCAGTTACGGGCGAGATAAGCTAACCAACTACGCATCAACCGTCGGCAATATGAATCCTATATTTTAAATCAGTTTTCACATGATAGTTCAGACTATTTTACTACTGCATTCATCCACCGGTCTTGGAACCATTCGCACAAAGGCGGAGTGAAGGGTAACATATGCAGTAACACAATCTTTTAACAAATTAAACACATGGATTAGAGAAAAGGGAAATTAATAAATCAAATGTAAAATGCATTTTTATCAATTCAACCAAAACATCCTCTCAGTTCAAAGTATCAAATGCGAGCCAAATTCCCTCATTTTCAGTCTCAGATTGACAGTGGTTGTAAACCCGAAACCCAAAAGGTTATTCTACAATCATCAAACTACAATATCCAATTCTAGAATCACAAAAGACATAACCTCATGATATATAGAGAAACCGAGATCATCTCACGCATAACCCCCTTCAGATTCTATGATACATCGAACTTCATCAGCAAAAAAGGGTTCGTTCTTGATTTGCAGTTATTCTCTCTTTAGCTAATACAATAAATTGATCTATTTGGATTTTGACATTGTCACCATACCATTCCAATGAAATTAAAAACCACTCAACAAATTCTTATCAACAACGATCGAACTCACCTACCAAACTCCCTGTCCCACCCCACAACTAAACCAACAACAAAATACTCAGTAAAATCCCACAACTGGGGTCTGGGAGGATATAGCGTACGCAGACCTTACCACTTCCGAGACACTCAACTCAAATGCAGCAAATCCCACCCCCAACACTAAAACAAGATAACTAAACACATATACACACACGAAAACAGAGAATAAAAGATCCAAAGAGCAATAGAATCTACAGCAAAAAAAAAAGTAGAACTAAAACATACAAGCTAGCTGAAAATTTACACATACATTAGTTAAAGCAACACAGAATTCAAAGATCTAATTTTTTATAGGCAATTGGCAATAAAACAATCAATTATATCAAAATCAAACCAACCCCAAATCTTAAAACCCCCAAACAATAAAAAAGATTCCATCTTTATCACAAAAGCTGTATATAACAAAAAAAAAAACAAGAAAGAGTAAGTACTGGGAAAGAGCCACCACGTTCACCGGGAATTTGGGAGAGAAGAGACCAATCCACCTTAGCTATATGATCTACTAGGGCAAATGGTTGTAGTCCAAGTACAACTGGTGCACCTATATTTACACTTTCACTTTGATTTTCACCATTAATGGTGGCTGGTCGAATTTCAACTCCCATGATTCCCTTATAAATTTTGCTCTATTAACTTTTGTCTATGTAATCCTCCAATTTATAGGCACTCTATTCTTTACTGTTACAATATTGTCACTACTAGTCCACTTGCTTTTTTTCAAATTTAGTCCTCTTCTCCAAATATTGAGCATTTTTGCTCTAAATAAGTCTTTAATTCTTTAAATTTGCTAAAGTTGAGCATTTCTGCTCTAACTAATAAAACATTTTATCAAAGATATGAGGAAAAATTGAAAAATCAATTGGATCGATTTTAATTTTTGTTTAATTTTCACAAATTTAACCAAGATCGATCATTTTTCATATGTTAAAAAATGAGAAACGAAAAAATTGATCAACTTTAATTATTATGCATTTTTTTAGTATAAACCGATAAAAAATTAAATTTTGAAAAAAAATGACTGAGCTTGGCTTTTTTTTTTTGGCTAAACTTCGATCATTTTAAAATAATATATCTATCTCTCATTAATTTTTTCAGATTTTTTGCTAAAACACGATTGAGCTAAGTTTTTTTTTTTAAAAAAAAATAAAACGAATCTAGGTCGAGGTTGATTTGTTTTCCCATCGATTTAAAATTTAATCCATTTTTTTATAGTGATTATTAATTTTTAAATTTATTACATTGATTAGAGCAAAAGTGTTTTACTTTGAACGATTTTAAAAATTAAAGATATATATGGATGACCAAAATAGACTTACTCCCCTTTATAAGAAATAAAAATTGTTTGGCTTAAAACTCAATTTTCTATGCCTCCATAGATTATATATATCTTAATTCAAGAATTATATTTTGATTAATAAGCTAATGTATGATGACGGCACCAAGAATGCTTTTCTGAATTTTGACAAAAAAAAAAATATGGCCTCCATACACAATTCTTTAATATATTTATCTGTATTTTTTTTTAAAAAAAAAATGGTTTTGGAATTTTTATTAAGGAATAAATTCGTATATTTTTATCTGCAAAATGAACTAAGTAAAATCGAACTTTAATTTCTTACGAGAACAACATTTATTAATGTTTTCTTGAAACGTTAGACTTTTTAAAAAATTATTCTGAAGAATTCATATATGAAATTCAAAAAATTGAAATAATTCATATATATGTATATATATTGAAATTTCACTATTTTTTTTTTGCTATATAAATATTTTATTAAAAGTAATAATCTAATCCACGTATGATATGACGAGACTAAAAAGTAAAAGATAATAGACCAATAGATATTTGATGGTTCATTGGTTTGTCTTTTTCCATAAAATTTCAATTTTGTTGAAATATTTATGGATTTTTGTTCATACAGATTATAGCCTTTAACTGAAACATATCTTAACTCGTGCCCTTCCCTCAGATTTTGTCTCTCTCTCTCCCAATAATGCCTCTCTATATTTTGTACAAATCTTTCTCCTCAATCAACTTTGAAAAACTCCTATTTGATTGAGTATTTGTCCAATTGCTACAATTTTTGTTTCCGACACCTGCATTGAAATCTAACTGATATGAGTCAGTGTCCATTTATAAGGGTGACATGTGACGTACCCATTAAGATTTTTGTATTCTCACAGATCGTGGTCATCCCTAGCGGATTAATTGAGAGTTTTGAGATATTTACTAAAACACAAATTGATATTTCAATGCAAAGTTATTGAGTTTTGCAAAAACGAAACGTTTTAGTAGAATTGTGGCTCCTACCCCACTATGAATGGTGTAGAAAGTACCATTTGTGGAGTGAGTGGACCAATTATGTAAGAAGAAAAAGTAGTCCAAAAGGAATCCCCTAATGGACCCCTTAAGATACATTATACACATCTTGAGATAAAAAAAATATATTTTTCTAAAAGAGAGCTGAAAATCAAGTATGCGCCGAAGGGTAAAGAAAAATAAAGAGATTCATGACCAAAGATGACTACATTCAAAACCAAACAATTCAACAGATGCCAATCATTCATATACAGTGTCATTATAAAAACACAATAAGACAAGGCTGAATTTACGGGGAAATTACTCATCTTTTGGCTCTTCATACCCCAATCAGCCAATCATCTCTACCTTTATAATATTATAATTAATATAACTATAGCTAACATGCCTTGGCTTTAGGTCATTGATTTCCCCACATGCACTGTGCTTACTTAGTCATGGATCTCAATAATGCATGGAATCTCAAACAAGAAGGGCATTGCTAAACATAAATGCTTCAACTGATGAAGAAATATGTTTGGAATGTGCTGTCAATGTTTTATGTTATTCCAATAACAATTTACCAAATAAATCTATTGAAAATGATTTCTCAGAGTTACAAGCACTTGTGGGCGTAACTTCCTTTTCCAAGCTGAAGAATTTCTGGGAAATAAGGGGCAAAAGTCTTAACTACAAAGCAGTGACGTACCGATGCTATCCAATAAGTTTGATATTATTTGGAAGGGTAACAGCCAATATCCATGACTGTTCTCCATACAGATGCTCACGGTGTAAAATAAATCTCTGGAAAGCAAAAAAAGAGAGAGTTGCTTGGGCACTGATCTCATTGGGCGATGCTCTTAGCAGCTTTTTCGGGGAGGATATTATCAGGAAGTACAAGCTCGGGAGGTGTTTCACGGACAACACCAATCATAGAATCATATTCCTCATCACGTTTGGCATACTTCTTACGAAGCATCTTTTCAAATTCAATTTCGTCAAAGGACTTGGAATTCTCAGCTGCATGGACACGAGCAAGGTTACAGTAGTTGGTTGCTGACTGAGCAATGAAGGCTATCTCTTCATCAGTTAGCTTCCTCAGAAACTTAGCGGGATTGCCTGCCCATACCTGTGTCATATAGATTCACGATTAGATATGAGCCTCTTAAATCATACCTATTCGCAGAAGAAGCCAATCATGATGTGGCTTCATGCTGAGTGTTAAATCCAGCGATTCACCACACTGATTCATGATGGAATGAGAGCAAAAGATGTAACTCGGTAGATATATGAAACGTTTGAGAGTCTTAAAACTCCTTCGAACCCCAATCATAGTACATAGTTAAAACAGTGGGACAAGTCAAATTTTACAGGAAAATCAAACGAGTCAAGTCATAAGTTGGGTGTCAAGGTTTTGATCTCATATTCACATTAATTATGACTTTGTAACATATAAGTAACACTGTTGTATCGGACCTATTCAGAATAGCATAGCAAGCAAAATAAATAGAATTGAATAAGAAGCTGCTTACTTCACCCACTCTTTTTCTTTAAGAAGAAAATAGATTTTACCTTGTGCAGCAGTAATAAACTAGGAAATTTTGAAGTTCTAATTGCAATCAAGATCAGATAGATAAGGGCAATCTCCTATATGATAATACAGTATTGCCAAATGCAATATCAAATATACGACAAACTTCAATCGTATCGTCCTTGCTTCTCTCATATCCAACATAGGTGGGCCAGAGAGTGAAACCCACAAAAGAAAGAGAAACTCCATACACGTATTTTAAGAGGTGAGGTGTTATTGCTAGCAAGTAGCAGCAAACCTCAAGAGGAGAGTGGAACACCTCCATGGAATTTCACCCATCCAAAGATTTTAGCAATACGTCTGCCACATCTTTTTTTAACAGTGGACTTACAGAAAAGCAATCATTAGTGATGAGGGGACTACTGGATACCTACCTCTCCGGAGGGAATCCTTGTGTTCTGTTTCACAAGGGCTCCTGCAGCAACCATGGCATGTTTCTCTACATGAACACCATCAAGCAGTGTGGCCCCCATACCAATGAAGGCCTCATCCTCAATGGTGCAGCCATGTACAACAGCACTATGACCTACAGAAAGCCTAAGTCACTATCCATCAAACCAAGATAACTGATGCTAAGGTTGACTTGCATGCTTACCAACAGTAACATTGTTCCCTATGATGGTGGGCAGCACCTTTTGACTTATATTTGATTTGGCCACATGAACAAGGGAGTTGTCCTGTATATTGGTACCAGATCCGACACTGATGCTGTTAACATCACCTGTAAAAGAGAAGGCACATAAAACTTATAAAACTGCAATATAGCATGCAAATACGGAAAATTTCTTGCCAATTAATAATCATAACACACAAAAAAAATGCTGAAGTGGTGTTATCAATAATTATTAGAAATGATTAAATACACTCCCATGGACAATCATATTTGTAATACATGAAAGGGAAAAAGGATTGAGAAGGGAGGAATAGGTAAACAAAGAAACAAATAACTCAAATGAAAGTTGAATTTCACCTAACTCATTAGTTACAAGAGCTCATATACAAGGGGAAAGGGAAGCCTACCTGTTGGAATGGGTCATGTATGAGAAGTTTAAAATTTCCCCTAACAGGTTGGACTGGGATGAGAACACCCTTAAAACACACCTCACATTTTCGCTGATTGCTTATGTGATAAGAGAAGGGATATGTACTAACAGACTACATAGGCATGTGTAAGACAGGGTTTTAGGGTCCTTATGTACAATTTAAAACAAAAACCATATAAATGGTATTTTGTGCATTTATTCAAAGTACTTTACATTCTAAAGTGTCTTGTGGGACTGAAAGAACAATATATCTAGGAGAAGGGAAGAGGAGAAGAGATTTCCAACATCTATTCCAATGAAGTGTCAATCGGACCGTTGCAATTGCTGTTCGACAACCAAAAGATGGAAAAGATCTACAAAAAATGTTTTTTTTATCTGAAACTAGTGACTCAAACAAACAACTGTTCAAGTTCGAAGAAAATAAGTTGCTCGGACTCTTCCCTTTTGGTGCCGCACCCGTGTCGACACGACATAGGTGTGGGTGTGAGATCTGTGTACGATTTGGTCAACTCATTTTAGGTACTTTGACCAAAATTGATGGGGAAAGTCGGAATAATTTTAATGATTTATGTAATCGATACAAAAGCTAAGGTGAAATTGAAGAAAATGGAATACCTTTTATATATAAATTTCCATATCACTCTTTTTCCTTTAATCACCTTCTAGGATTCTCCTCAAGTTCTCCACATAATATCTCATAATTTAGGTTTT